GGAGTTCAATTCTCAGTCGTGCAACAAAATCCAATTGTTAATTAATGTGTACCCTGGTGACCAATCCGAGAAAAACCATCTCTTTCTAGAACTTCAAGTATTCGGACAGCTTGCTATATTAGGACCTGTATACCCTGGAAGGCTTCAATTTCAGCAGAGGTAACAAAAATAGCTAAAATAAGTAACTAGGTATCTACTTGTGTACAGACAAGAGATTAAGTAGATATACTTAAAATTTATTTCGTTTTTGACTTATTACGAAAATTTATTTAAATAGGGTAGGATTCTATAAACATACAGATACAAAGATAACTCAGTATAGAAAACTATGTTATTAGAATATTTAGCAATAGAACTCGGTTAATAATTATTATAATTACGACTCTAAGGTGTATTTAGTTCAGTTAGACCTATTGACATGCAATTTAGCCGACAATGTATAGGTACATATTTAAATAAAACACTTTAACGGTTTAAAACGCGATATATTAGTTAAACTTATTTCGTAGTATTAGTGTATCAACACAATAATATTAATTTTGCAAACAACAAAACAACGTTTGTCGGATCAGCGATCAGCTAGTGAGTTACAATCTATATTTAATCTACATAATAATATTATAAAGAGGAAAACTTTGTTTGTTTGGTTGTAATGAATAGGCTCAAAAACTACTGGACCGTTTTTAAAAATTCTTTCACCATTCGAAAGCTACATTCTCCACGAGTAACATAGGCAAAATTTTATTTTGGAAAAAAATAGGGTTCCTTAAAATATTTGGGTTTTTCGGACACAAAGTGTAAAAAATCAACCAGAAAAGTTACTTATTTTGCGTACGCTGCCTAAACTATAAAAGATAGAAGCATAAAATTTTAATAATTGGAATCTTATAAATATCCAAAAAAGTCCGCGACACACTTACCTATCTATTCGAGTGAGGCACAACAACCATTTTTTTATTTAAAAATCTTAATTTTTTTGGACTACATTTAAACCATTTGTTTTACTCATGCTATTAATCCTTATCAAAATAAATTATTTCATACTAAGTACAGTTTATGTAGATAATATTTGTATTTAAAAGATTAAAATTGGACGTTTGTTTTGAAGTTATGGGAAAAAAAAAACTTTTTTTTTTGGGGGGGGGGGGGGGGGCCCCAGGGGGGGGGGGGGGGGGGGGGGGGGGAGTTTAGATCTATGGGTAAGTACCAGTTATTTATGGATCAATGACATGGTATTTACCACTTAACAAAGTGTCGATATAAAATAAAGCTGAAGAGTTTGTTTGTTTGTTTGAACGCGCTAATCTCAGGGAGGTTTGAATTGAAAAATTATTTTTGTGTTGGTTAGAGCATTTATCGAGGAAGGTTATAACACATTGCGATTTGACTAATGGGAGCGAAGATACAGCGAGAAATGTGAAAAAAAACGGGGAAAATTTTCATCTCTGTAAGTTTCAGATGCGTACGCTGCGAAAACGGTTCAAGATACCTAAAAATTGTGTATGAAAGAATGATTCCCCTTTAAATGATCTAAAAAAAAAGTCCACAACGCTATATGTGTCTATCTTTTAAGATTAACTTGCAAGAACGACCCGAACGACGGGACGCGTACGACAGGATACGAATATCGTGGGTAACAGCTATCTACACTAATATTATAGGGATGAAAGATTTGTAATATTGTATGTAACGGATAAACTCAAAAAGTACTGGACCGATTTTAATAATTATTTTTTCATTAGACAGCTAGATTATCATTGAGTAAAATAAAATATACTTAGTACTAGATTACGATAGAAATCTTTAGAAATTTCTATTAAAAGCAACGGGAGGTGTAAAAAAATTTGCCATATAATGTCTTTCATCGCATACGCTGCGAAGAGTATTAATGATAGGGCAAAAAATTAGAAAAAAATATTATTTTTTACATGAAGGCACCATACAATTTAAAAATCGAAAAATTTTAAATAGGACAAAAAAATGTTCGACGATATTATAGAATATATCAATTACAAAAAACTTTGCGAGACCATAAGTCTAACTATTGTAGTTACGTCAGTATGACTACTTTGTTACCATTAACAAATTTATAGAAAAGCCGATCAAAATCAGACCGTGTTATCCATACCATTTATAATGTTTTTTTTAAATAAATTATAGTTTTTAATAATATTATAAATGCGAAAGTAAATCTGTCCGTCTGTCTGTCTGTCCGGCTTTAATTCGGAAATTACTGCACTGATTTAAATAAAATTTGAAAGTTAGGCCTGAGAAAGGACATATGATACTTTTTAATGCCAAAAAAATGTTGATAGGGGTTGTAAAATGGGGTGAAGGTTTGTATGGAAATTCGTGGTTTTTGAAGGTAGAACAATGAAACTTTCTTCTTTGGCTTTTTGGGAATAGGAATGGGAGTGCGAGTGGGAGTGGGAGTGGGAGTGAGTGTAGGAATGAGTGTAGGAATGAGAGTAGGAGTTATGTGAGGTGAGAGTGTTGCGACAAAGTTACAGTTACAACATAGATTGGCTGCCTTAAATGCGCCCTTACACAAATTAATTAAGAGCCTGAATAATTAAAAATTCTACCCCAAGTCACTATTCCACGCGGACGAAGTCGCGGGCACAGCTAGTAACAATATATATGGTAAAATTGAATCGATAAAAAATCCAATCTAAGATTGCATATCTCAACAGAGGTTGCGTTGACGTCATTTCTTGATCTTGGAAATTTAAATAAAATTTTAGATTAATAACGAATAATAGACCAATCGTAATCGTAACCAAAGCGAGATAGCGTAACATAAAATAACAATTTTTGTTTTTGCGGATATCGTGTACACAAAAACGTTAAATTTAAAAAATACAATATAATATATATTTTATGAGAATGATAAATTAGGTAATTATAATATCCTTTTTAGCAAGACATTTTTCCTGAGGACCAATGCTAAACTACGAAGAAAAGGTACACATAGGAATTTGTATTGTTATGTAGATAGATAAGTAGTGGCATATTGAGCTGTGAAACTGCCCCCTTCCCTTAACCCCATTTGACTGTGTGAGACAATATTAATGGAAATAAATTGTTAAAATGCCTATAGTTATGCCTAAGGCAGAAGGGAATGAAGCGTGAGTTGCGCTTCAAATACACCAGCCGCATGGCGTCTAAGCAAGATGTGCTTTCGGACTATGTTTGGCTTTGGACAATCGGAAATTCAAGGACTGAAAATAAGTCGCGATTAAACCGGAATTTCAAATTTTCATAACACTCATATAGTAGGGATATATCCAGAATTTCGAGACAAAGCACAACATGTTACAAATTATAAATTAATTTTAAAATCATGTTGGTGGAAATCAAACTCACGACCCCTTGATTATTATTAGCTTCACATTGCTACCATTAAAGTCGTCATAATTATTATATATTATTGTTCGCTTCATATCTTAATTAAAATATTGACTTTATTCAAATCCTGAAATGACGGTTATATTTGCGTTGTTTTCATCAAATATTGATTGGCTAGCACATACTGAACGTTTGTTATCAATCGGTTGTGGATTAAGTGAATATTTTTTCCTTTTTTATTATCTTTTTGAAGGTCTATTCCCAAACATTATGCGATTCCGTGGAATGCCTAGTTTGGGTCTAGAAAAACTCGGTAAAGGTAAGACGATCTAATATGTCTGATCTATATTCCTAATGACTTGACTGAATGTATTGTACCCATTTCATTCTGTACATTTTGGAAAAACAAAATCGTACCATACGCAGCAGTAGTGATGCGTAAAATAATATTGTATATAAGATTTTTCAAAGAGGAAGTAGATTTATGTAAACACGGGATCGTGAGTACTGGCGAGATTGAGTATTACCTTTTAATTGGTAAGAAAAAAATTTCGAGGTTACTGCTTTTCTGTTCCCTATTGCAGCTGTTAATAACGTCCCTGGCCACGACCTGAATTTGTTCTTATCTACTAAATATAATGATGGATATATTATGTACTGCCAATAAGTAGATAAAAACAATTCCTATGTTATTAGTTCATCGTATAGATATAATAATTCGAGAAGGTTTGATTTAAGGCGAAACACAACTTAACATATAAGTAAAAAACGTTACATTCGAAGTATCTGGATACTTCTAAATAATAAGATAAGGATTTCCTTCTACGATAGAGTAACGAAAATATAACTCGTCGCTTTAATCGAGTCATAATAAACAGATGTTGATAATTTATCGATAATCATGAATGTATTACTTATCAATATTACTGTTACGTATCTACCATACGCACTTCAATTAATGGACGGCATTTACATTTTATTTACCTAACTCATATACACCACTTGTCACATGAGTTGGGCAAATGTAAATAGATGTTTAACACAAAGTATAAAATATTACATTTCTATTGTCAGATTCTACTTACTACGATTATTTACTTTACTTAAATTTAGTGGTTAGAGCTACAACAATATTTTTTGTCTCAACATTAATTAGCTCGATTCTCACAAACCTACGCACGTTATGAAAAAAATACGTTATTATTACTATAATTAATAAGATTTACATACAATTTCTCACTCATAATGGAAACTTAGCGGGACTTAAAAAAACAATGTTTCCTCGTAACATTGGAAACAAATTTGAACCCCTTAAATCTATGAAAAGTATAATAAAGATAATTAGAACATCATGCTTTCTATAGGTCATTTTATGTTTAGTTAAATTCCTATACAAAATTTCCTATGGAATATATTTAGGATATACTTCTTGTCGCCGTTCAATTTGCTCGTACTGAATAAAAGTTCAAATTAAATATTAAGACTGTGAAGGTCCAATGATAATAGATAATTTTTATTTATTCTTTATCATTAAGTCATAACATGTTACGAAACTATATGTGACCTACCTATAACGATGACAATAACATGTTAATTCAAATTTTTGGAAATAATGCAGAATATTTTTTCCGTTCTTATTTCTATGAACTTACTGCTGTTAGTAATCCCCATGGAAACATTCATGGATAGATTTCTGAATTCGATGTCGACGTTTGTGGGCGGAGGCATGTTGATCTGCAGCGTCCTGCACTCATGGTGCTGCTCTTTGCCTTGGATTTTCTGCCTCAAACCTTGCAGCTTTGCAATAGCACTGGCCATTTTGCCCCGAAAATGTTATAAGGCACTTCCGCAATAGTCACCATATAGTCTTATATATTCAATCACAACTATGTTTCATTTCCTCTATTAATACTGTTTTTAGAAAAAAAATAACTAAATTACGGATTTTTTTCGTATTGAATAATTAAATAGAGCTAATCGCTCAGCGTAATGAACGCGCGCGCGTTTCGTAACGGGCAACCGACCACTGCGCAGGAGTTAGCGTTGTGGCAAGTTATTATTTATTATAATTATATTACTACTGATAATATTTTTAACAATACCATTTCTTTTAAACATCCACTGTATCAGAGAAACTTTTTTTATTTGACTTATCAGCTAAGGGCATATTCTGGGATTTTCTACATATTTTTAGTATTCTGTTTAAGACAGAGTAGGTACAGAACATTGGGTTTTCTTTCATGAAAGCCATATAACATCTAAACAAGAAAGAACGCGCTATCGAAATATTTTGGCTTTGCTATAAACTTAACTGAAACACGGATTTACACTTCCCGGCTTTATAATATACGCGTAGTATTTCGGGAATCATTTTAAAACAATGGCCATCCATGTATTACAATATAACATCATATGGCAACGATATATTCAGATTCTACTACTAATCTTACTATGCTAATACTTAATAATTTTAGTCATAATGAAATCAACTTTGAATTCTTTTGTAAAAAACTGCTTCAAAAAGAATGTAAACTTAGTAAGTATATATTACATATTTTACAGCACCAACGACATTGTGACTTCATAACGGTTAACACTAATCTTTGTGTATATTATTGACAGGTCAACAGCATTACTATCGACACAATCCATTATATAATAAATACCATTCGTGGTATTGGTTTTATAATAATTTTGAAGGGCTTACCTACTTTACTTTACGAATTACACCGAGCAAATGCATGTTGGTGAGACACACCAGTTTACACAAATATACCTTTTTTGTACGACTGGGGATCGAACTCTTGACAAATAGTACATACCTACTAATCTTACAAAAAAACCGGGACCATATGTTAGTCAGACTGGCCATCTACTAAGCTAAAGTATAAAAAAATATTTTTACAGTTACAAATATGTATTGTAATTAGGCTTTGGTACACACAGATACATTTAGATTACATAGACAAGCGAAGTCTTTGTAAACATTATGAAATTCTAAAAATAAATACAATTGAAAACCGTTGCGCAGGATTCCACTGGGTCTGCGCGAACGGATACAAAATAAGCAAAAAAATACAGATTCAAATTTCAATCAAATATTAATTATAAATACGATGGCTGACGTTCGTTTAGTTTGGGATATATATCTGACAAAGGTATAAATCCGTACTACATACTATACTTTGTTTGTCAATTTTTTTTTATAATTATTGAATATAATTTTCCTAGACGGATTAATATATGTATAATTATACTGTCATGTGTAGGTACGAGTACAAAGTAATATGTACAGACATTTAATTATTATTATGAGCACTAATGAGCAAACTACAGTTATTTAAGTAATAGCTATATTATTATAATACTATTTATATATACTTCGTAATGATAAAAAATTATATTTAAATAATACACTTTAACGCGATATTTATTCGTTAAACTTATTTTAACTACGGCTCGACGTTTCGGGTGTGTCCCCGTGACCACGACTGCTGCAAAGCATAGCAAGCGGGACGTAGTTAAAATAATTTTCAGATAAGTTTAACGAATATATATCGCGTTTTAAACCGTTAAAGAGTTTTATTTAAATGTGTACCACTCGCGTAAACTACAGTAGACAATAATATCGAAATGTTATGTCCATCAATAAATTATTTCTTTTTAATGTAACGAAGACGACTTAATTTCTTGCACGATAATTCTAAGATGGCTAGTTCTGTCTAGTCAAATGTTTAGCTGTGGCTAAATGGTTTCAGACAATGTTTGGAAAAGAAGATAAATATTTAACTACAATATTATAATGTATTTACAAATTCAACTAATAAACGTCATATTATCTCGACCAGTTAACTTGACCCTTTTATTTCCGCAAGTTACAGTAATTACTTATTGCATTATTAAATCACACTGGAAAAAACCTCCATTAATCAATAAAATTATTTACCCAGAAACTTTCATTTTCCTTCGAAAAGTAGTTTTAAGTAAGTGGCGTATGTAGGTAGGTGTTACTAATAATTTAAGGTTCGACAAAAAAGTACTTAATTTAATATGTTTTAGACGTTGTAAAAGGCTATTTTAATACTTAAATGATCAAGATTAATTAACGCTCTAATGATTTCAGAAACAAGTTTGGTTAATTTTTAAACCTGTTTAACGAGTAATTATTCGGAACAGGAATAAATATACGAATCATATTCGCGAAAATTATAAAATCTTACAAAGATACCTACACAATTTTAAGCTGAAATAAAAAATACAAACGTCGCACTTTTTGTTGCTATAACATTTTATGGAAAAATCGTTGTATATAAATGATAAAATTACTTATTTGCATCATACAAAGTTTCGTTTGATCAACTCCCTTGCATAAATAATATGCCATAGGTATATTTAAAAAACGGGCTAGTTATTATAAACTTCCAATTAATCTGGTTTATCCTATCAATGTCATTTACTTGTTTATTTTTTAATATTTTATTTGAATGTATCAAAAAATAAAAGGTCAAATACATTATTAACCGCTGCATTTCTTCTCGAAAAATTGAAGCTTAGATATTTATGTTCGCGAACAAAACCAGTTTAAATTACGTTTTTTCATTAGTTTCGACTCTTATGGTACAGGTTTCTACTATAGATTCTATTATTAGATTCTAGAATATTCTTTAAATGACTCCATTCTAATATTCATTCATTATATTTTTACTAGGGAAAGAAATTTTATACAAAGCTAAGGGAAGCTGGAAGCATCACTGTCAATTTATATTGGTTATTTACCATTATAGGTAGGGTTTTATAAATCGTATTCGGAAATGGACTAAGTTCTTATTCCTGTTTAGTTTTTCTTGATAAATACAAATTTAATGCTTCTAATAAAAATAGATTGCCTCCATGGCTAATTGGTTACACGGTTTGCGCCAATAGTAGTACTACCCAGTACTGGAATCGAATCCTCGGGACACATGTATACAATGTTTCTGTCGGACAGACGGACGGTCTGTCGGAAGGACGGACGGTCTGTACGACTAATGCTGTCACTGCCGACAGCCTTCGACGTGTTGGAAATAATGCTCTTTTTAACGTCACAATCCGTGAAAGGAGAGAAGTCGAACGGTGATGCTGTAGGAATAGGACTTACAGTGTATTAAGCTTCTCAAAGCATTTCTTATCGTTCATAGTACCCTTAAAAAAATTAAATGTATCTCAGTTTATTTTAATGAGTTGGATCATGTATATTACATAAGAGTTCTAGGTCAGCAACTATTTACAATAATTAAGATTAAAGCATTTATTACTGTTATTATAAATCGTGGTCTAATAATCTCCACCAGGAAATAAATTAAAAAACGTGTTTTATAAGAAAGAGCCGTCTTTGAAATTGTTTTAAAATAATTTTTGTCAAAAGCTATTAACATTTTTTATGTTACTCAGATCCTAATGTATAAAAGTAATCAACTTTGCAATTATTAAATCTGATATCTAATGTGAATTATTGTTGTGGCAAAGTTTCTGATAACAGCGTCATAGGAACGCTTCTTGTATACGAATACTAATTAGACGCATCAAACGTAGTCGTGAAGTTTTCAATAGGAAATCATGTTTATTGAGCAATAGTAGATTACAGTTAAAAATCGGCGTGAGTGAGGCGTCATAATTAAAGCAGGAAGCATTCGAGTCCCAACTTTGACCGCTTCTTGACAATATACAGATAGGCATTTTGACATTACAAAATATTAGTGTTCTAGGGACTCCGAACATTCATACTGATATTAGCAGGAACTACTGGTACGAATTGAAATCATATTTTTGTGTTCTTTAGTGCGTTTATCGAGAAAGGATTTACGCTATAGAATATCACGCTCTGATCAATAGGAGCGTAGATTATACCAGCTTTAAGGGCTTACGTTTCCCTGCGAAAACTGTTTAAGAAAACAAAAATATATAAATACAAAACGCAAAAACGGCGGAACGCGCACGGCGTCATGGGTAACAGCTATAACTTTTAAATATGAGAAAACTTGCAAAAAAAAAATGTTGTTCAAAGTAACGTACTATAATATAAGCGGATGAAATCGCAGCCACGGCTAGTATGTTATATACAGATTTTGACTAAAACAAGGTAGGAAGCGGATAAAAAATGAACTATAAAATATTCACGATCTCAAGGCAACACTCGCTAATATGACCTGCAATTAGTTGAGCTCAAGGCAAAAAATATGTTGTTTAAATGACATTAGATGAGATTATAGTAACTACAAAGTAGACACTTGTTATAGAATGAAACTATGTCTCCCCTTTTATCATACAGTAAAAATCGTGTTACAAAATTATTTCTCAAAAATATTCGTATTTAAAACCAAGACTAACTTTTAGCATTTTTTGCATTATACTTTGTTTCTCTTTCTACTCTGGTAAACCAAAGGACTAAAAAGCCAATAAATGAAATTATCAAGAGACAATGTAATTTTAATCGTTTCATTTCTGAACGTTAAGCCTACTAATTGAAATAAATGAATTTTAAACAAATAAATTATGTTCAGTAAGTAACTTACAGTATCTTAGTTTACGTAACGTCTAACACAGTTTATGATAGCATATTCTAGTAGGCGTTCGTTTCTGTAGAATTTATTTGTTCTTTAAAGTTTTATTCGTTAAAACAGTACCTACCCTTAAAATGCGCCGCTTTGCCCAATATTTAAAGTACACATATCAAACATTTCACTTATTTGATGTTAATTTTCGATTTCACACAGGATAAAAAGACATTAAGAAATAAGAAAAAATTCTAGCTGTTGATGTCCGCGCCATCTATTAAGGCAGTTAAGAACTAGATGTCTCTTGATTTAGCTGCGATAAGTCTTTTCAGATAAAATCGATTTTACCTAAGTTAATCATCTTGTCTCTAGATGTCGCTAAGCTAGTATAAAATTTAAAAAAAATTCAATATTATTAATTTTAGGACAAATCTGAATTATGTTGTATTTAAATTAAACATAAAATTGAAATTTTTCAATCTTATGAAGGAAATATTTAAAAGGAATTAACAAATATCGTTATCGGAATATATTCTCATATTGAAGTCCGAATGATACATTGTATTTTGATATTTTTAGCTCTCGCGACACACAAATAGGTAATAATTAGTGGCTGCGAAGGGAAGCTCGCCACCCATTCACTCAGTGCGACCTCAGAAAGTGCGACAATCTCTTTGTTTGAACGGGATCGTTGTTTACGTTCAATAAAGTGTTTTGTTCCGCGGACGCGATCATTCGTACAACATGTCTATTGTACTGTCCATTTATTTACAAATTAACGTATGTGCAGTTAACGACGCAGTACAATTTACTATATAGAGTAGAGACAAAAGTCTTCTGATAGCAGAGGTGGAGGCGCGCGCGCATTCGTTCGCGCGACGTATATCACATAACACGCGCGACAGATTCATGCAATAAATAAACAATGATGCTCGCCGGCGTTCAGATCGTGGAAGATCAAAGTGTAACGTATAAGGCCGATGGGGAACGGGACACGCCGGGCGGAGAGAGGTCGTCCCCGAGCGTCCCTTCCACCACCACCCAGTCTTCGAAGCCGCCGACCCCCTCGCAGCTTCAAAACAGAGGCTTATCCCGTATCCCGGATAAAGACCCTGTCGATATCCAGTTCAGTAACATTACGTGTACTGTTAGCCTCGGTATTAATAAGGGTAAGTCTTACACTACATACGTCATTTATAGAGCTGTTTTCTAGATTATAGGTATTTTTAATGGCGCTATGAATCCGCGTGTATAATTAATGTACCTACTCTGTCTAGCTGATATTAGAGATACTATTGTAGTTGACTATTTATGAACTAAGAGATAGTATGTAATCGTTCGCTCATTTTATTACAATGTACTTCGCAAAAACTTCGCATTTTAGGTAAAACAATGAACTTTCGCCACTCGCAGCAACAAAAGCATATCGTTTTCTTTATACTCCGTTTGAAAGATATGAAATCGTACTTCAAACAAAATAAGGACAACGACATCAACTCGAAATTGATTATTTAACATTATTATATTTTCGTTTACTATCTATTGTCTTGTTGACGCGCTTTATCATGTATATTGTTTCCTCACAATTTGTTAATAGCTCTACTTTTATTAATAAATCATCATCGTGCACGCGTTCCGGTGCTAATAGCTTATTTCAATATGCTGAGATTAAACAAACAAGACTTACGCCTTGAACCTTATCAAATACCTCCTTTGTGCCGCGTATTTACCATAAGTAGTTTTTAAATTGTTGAAGATCTTATCTATACTAACATATAAAACTGAGGACTTTGTTTGTTTGTTTGCATGTTGGCACATGCTAATTTCAGGAATCTCAGCAAAAACGTATTTGGATCCCCAAAAAAGGATTCTCGCGGACGAAGTCGCTGACATAGCTAGACTGTTTTAGCCAGGATTCATTGACGTGATACCGCCTTCTTAATTAACCGCTTTGTTACGCATCGCATTACGATGATTGTTATTTTATCGGAGGAACAGGCTTAAATATATCTCTATTATTCTTATGGGGCTGAGGACGACCAACACAAATTGGGTGTTTACAAAGATTCCCTTCTATGAATTAAACAACTATTTAGTAGTTAGTCTAGACTACATGGCATAGGCGTCCACAATGTTCCACAGCGTTAGAAGTCTACCATGTTCTACACGTCATGGTCGAATTTCTTCAATCCATTGATGTTGATGAATCCAATGATGTTTTAATAATTTCACCTGTAAAATTAGTCCTATATTTTTTCACGAATTATAATGGCGTGCTATATAAAATATATTGTTTGCAACCTCCGCATCCGATGTGCAGAGACTTTTTTGTTACAAAACCAATCTCAAGGGATTCAATCCCGGGATAAAGCCCCCACCATATTAAGCTTTTTTATCACTTTCACCATGGTCCCCTTCTTTTCGAATCGCGATATTTTATTTTATTTAACAATGCAGGGCCCGATTTTACTAAACATAAAGTATGCTGTTTAGTTCTGCTGATAGTAAATTAAAAACTTAACAAACACAAGTAAATATGACTTTGAGCGTAGAAAAGATAATGGTTTACACCACATAAACTTCATATAAAATGTGTCCACGACAATCGCTGCATAATGTTTCAATCATCGTTGAAAAGCTGGTCATCTGTAGTTTCACGGATTCGTTTGTACAATGCTGATGCAGCAATGCGCGGCTAATAACGAACGAGTCGAGGGTTCGATGAGTCGATTGGGTCATTCATGAGTGGGACACACACACACCACCGGGTCTAACATTTTTCTAATCAATTTAAAACTTCTAAAATATGTTAAACTTGGTCTGAAGATGTGGGTCAATGAGAAACCACGGTCCACAGATGAAAAAGATGAAGAAGAATATTTTAAAGATTTCAGTCTGATTTCCGAAAATTCAAAGTCAAAATAGATTGACATTGCATCTTGTTTAGATGTTACATAGATGGAATGTTTCACATACTATCGAGTAAACCCTATGCTTTTTTATTCTTCTCTATAAATAATAAATTAAATAAAAAATCAATTTTTTTCTATTGAAATAGTAGAGTGATAGACCGTCCGTTAATTTTAGAAAGAAATATTTGTTTGTTTGTATCTTATATTGGTTGAAAAATTAAGTGATGTCCACTATTGAGTATTAGTAGAATTTTTTTATAGAAAATTTTCTTTTGATTTAGAATATTCTTAAATTATATAGTGCCTTCTGTCCAAATAAAAAATTTTTACTTGCCAAGTAGATTATCAGTCACCAAGATTTTTATTTTTGAAAGTTCTTTAGATCTGGCAATATTTTGACACTTCCTCATCTAAGACGTAAAAAATATTTACGTTAACAATACATGTCATGGAGTCGCGGTCGTGTAACAAATAGAATCGATTTTGATTCTTAAATAGAAGTAACTCATTCGTCGATGTTAAGTTATTAGTTAACATGAAAAAAGATTCTATCTTCTACCATTATATGAGGCACAGTGGCCTGATAACAAAAAACAAGATTTTCAAGTAGGAGGAAAATAAAAATGCGCAAAGAACTTAGGCAAAAACGAATTTGTACTATTACTTGTGTAAAAATTAAGGTAACAAATTTCGGTCACCAAGCTCATGTAGATTAACATTTTAATTCGATAAAAATATAAATAAGTCAAGTCAAAGAAATTGCAGTTAGGCTACACTGCCTCTAGAGCCTCATATATGTTTCAGTACCACCAGATATATTTGTATTATCAAACCGGCTTACAATAAATTAAGATATTTTTGTTACCTTCGAGATTGGTCGACGAGTTTCACCTTTACATTGACATTCGGTTACATAAAATCGGTCAAGTGCAAGACGCTCTCGTCCAGAAAGGGTTCCGTACCATTGACTAGTAGGTATACTAATTTCATATTGCAATCTTTTTCCCTTACTACAGTCAGGTGTCAATAATTTTTCAAGTTCTTACTGTTTACGTGCTAACATGAAGCAAAAGTGACGTGTTTAGTATGGGATATTATTTGCCCCTCTTTATTTTTTTTAGTCTTCGTTGTTAAAACTATAAAATTAAGCTAAGCTAGTCTTTATAGCACTTCGAGACGTCGCCCTACAAAGCAAAATCCTTTTCAAAGAGAGTATTTTCCGTACTTTTATTTATAAACAGCCAGTAGAAATTGAACTTGACTCAGAACAAGTTAAACCGGTCAAGTCGTCTGATGCACTTAAAATCAAACCCAAATCTATATACCTATATATCTTCGTTTCTTGCACCTGCGGTTAATATATCTCGCTTAAACTGTGATAATGAAGTACCTAACATAGATATAAAAAAATTTTTTTAACAGAGGAAGACAAGCATTGAGTTCCCTTGTGTGTACTAATTATTTCACCCTAGCGATATAACATTTATGCTAGTTACGCTGTTTCTCTATCCCAAAACTCTATTTTCTCTTTAAACATTCAGAAGTCAAGCGTTTGAAACCGAAGCTCGACTTACACTTCACGGCTTTTTTATTTGTGGACTGTGGTACCCGCCACCCCCGTTCGATATTTCGATGTCTCAACCCCTTAACAAAGATCCAACATGTTTTAGAAAAATTAAATGAATTCAATTTAAATGAATCAAAATCAGTCTCTAATCCGTATTTATTGCAATTAACTTTATGAAAATTGATTGTAGCCGGATACATGTGTGATAATAATTGTATGTAATCACAAGTGTCAACCTTAGAATGGGGCAATATCGATGATCAGCATAGCTACATAGATATCTTATCGAAAATTCAATGTCATAAGGTACTGGTTGCACCTATTTCGTAAAACTGAACACATTAATTACCTTGTAACATTATAACAATGTTCTACAACCTTGGACATTATTTTTCATAGAAATATGTGTAAAAAATAAGTGCGTCATTGTATTGTTAATTACTTGTACAAATCCCTACCTTATCTCACGAACTTAAAATACATAGTACCTGCCGCACCAGAAGCCATTCGTTAAAATAGAGGAAAAAAAGGATTCTTATATCATATAAATCGTTGTTTTTCTCATTCATAAATGTATTTTTAGTATAACAAAAACTTAAAACATGACTATTTTGATTATACGTGCGCATTATAATTAGACAACGAGATATTAAATTCGATTTGAATTAATTTACAATTCAAGTTAAAAATAATATGAACAAATCGCAAAGGATCTGGAAGGAGTCTACATATGGATATACTTAAAGTACGGCATATAGTAGGGATGGGACAAATAAAGTCATGGAATACAAAATGATATTAGCTCAATGACGCCCGTCATTTGATAGGTAGTTAATATTAATTGCTTATTCTATGATTGCTAAGACTACATACCGATTTAAGTCCAGCCCCCGGCATTTATACGCCATCCTGCAAAACAGGGTAAATAAATAATCTTACGCTATTTCATCACGACACCGCTTAACACACGCAGGGTAACTCAAATGAATTGGCTCAACATTTCCTGTTTCCTCCCCTCCTTTGTATGGTGCTCCGACAGGGAATAGACCACCGACACCTTTGAGGTCAAACAGGTAGAATTGTACAAGTTCTCAACGCAAAAAGGCTAAAGATTCCTTCGACGTTCGTTTAATTCTTTATGCATTTGATTAATTGTGTGTCCGATCGAAATCTATAGGTTTATATAATATTTTATTTGGTAACAAGGCAAAAATATTGCATTTTTTCATATTACATATTTTTAGAGGTTTTTCGCCCATGTAGCTAAATAGTTAAAAGTGTTGTCTAACACAGTGCGGGAGAGGTCCCGAGTTCGAAAACCGATCACTGAAACGGCACAGAAATGTGTTCGCACTATGTCCCGCGGGGGTAAAGGGAAATTCACTTTCTTCTAATCATCTCTTCTAACCCGAGATTACGTGTAAAACCGATCTATCAATATCGGCTTCGATAAAATATAGATTTCCTGTTCGGTCTCGGGGTTACACTCCGCAGCCGTGTAATAGCAGCACTTCATTACCACAAGCAGCTATGTCACCGAATGGCAGGTCAAGGCACACGACATCTGAGCATTAAGACCATAATGAACGGAATCAAAGTTTACTCGGAATCGTATATAAGACATCAAAGATGTTAGGTATATGTGTCTAATATAATAAGGCTAAATCACGGTGAAAGTAGTATAATTGTT